ATATATTATATATGTTTATATGCTACACATACTATATATATATATATACATACATTCTTTTCGCATTATGTTATTATTGTTAGATTAAAATAAAGGTACATTTATTGTAAGAAACATAATGCAACTTTTATTTAGTTGTGTCGTGTGTCAAATTTATATTTGGTAATATGGCAAATCGCAATATATATTAGCTCGCGTGAAATTACAGTTCAAAAAAACTCTTTGCAATTGTTTAAAAGAAAGTTTGAAAAGAGTGCATGTCAGAGCAAACTTCATACAGACGAAACGTCAAATAAATCTATTTTCCTCCGTGTCGGCAGTGTTTGATATTTTTATAAAATTAACAAGTACTTATACAGCAAGAATGGCAATGTCGACGATACATACGCCGTGTACGTACGAGTTTTCCAGAGGCAATGGCACCGGTGTGGCAGAAGCGCTTGGAAATTGGGGTTTCTCTAACAGAGTGTGCAGCGCCGGCCAGGAGCTGCGACGTTTAAAATGTCTCTTTGCGGAAATGGATTCTTTGTGAGAACACGAGCACACGCGTTTCATTGAACCAAATCAAGAAAAAATTCATCGCGACTATTGTTAGGATTGAGAAAAGAAATAAAGAAACGCACAAACATTAATTATAATTTCAGACGCAGACCAACAAAATCAGCATTGTGCGTTAAATATAATCCCAGATATGATCCTGATGCGTGGTACATTAAGCCTAGTCCCGATGAATGTAAACCCGCCTGGACATTTCCCGCAAACAGGCCTCTGATTACTCATTCTTCGACTGTCACGGTTTTGAAGGTCTCTAATTTACAAGAACTCGGATCGGATTTAAAATACATTATACCTGGTCACAGCTACATGCAACAAGGCGTACGTGTACATATATTTCTGAATGAATTAAATTGTTTCGTTAAAGCGAGCTAGTAAGATTTTTATCACGGCTTTAAGATATAACAACAAAAATATAATATACATAATTATATCCATCTAAGTTTTTCATTATATTCTAAAATATTATACGTGCCATATAATTGTATCGTACTTTCAGACGGACAAATGGTATCGTCGAGGTTCAAACTGTTGCTATCAACCAAGCTGTTTAGCTCCGCAATGTCCTATGTGATATTGTCATAGACTGACTTGTTTATTTTTAAATTCATAAGATAACCGTTTTTAATTGTATTTGATGATAATACCAAATGTTCGTGATTTTTTTCTAATATTAAAGTATAATATTCTACAATATATATACGTATATGTATGTATGTGTATACATATATATATATGTATATGTATATATATGTTAAGTATAAAGCAGAGTATAAAGTATATCTTTGTATCATGTATAAAAAGGAGATCGGTAATGAGAGGATCAAGATATAGGGATATGGATAAGTAATGGAGCAATTATAATAAATCATCGGATGATGACATTCAAGAGCAGTGAAGTCGTTGAATTTATTTTTTGTTTTAACGAACACAAATGTCTCGAGCTTTTGCGCGTTGCGTGAGAACAATTACATTATCGTATGGTGGGGGCAAGTAATTTGACTGACTGTAAGATTTTTTAACACCTTTTTTGCGCGTGACATCAGTGAATGAAGAGTATTTCATTCTCTCTCTCTCTATATATATATATAAGCTATACTAGAGCTAGCATTACAACAATATACACATTTGAATTCCTTAAGTAGAAACTGATCTACACAAATAGCAATTCGTAAAATCCTAGATAAGGAGCTCTGTGCTGCCTTTGCGATGGCTCTGCATATAAGAAAGCCTCTTCTCGAGATTCTTATGTACAAAAGAAAAATACAAAACTGAATTGATATGAGGCATAGTACAATATAAATATGAAAACTGTAAGAATAACGTACGATTTACGCGAGTCAGTAACATATGTGTGTTACGCGAGTTATTAAAAATATTATTACGATACCTTAAGCAAGTAATGTACATATCGTAATGTATAAATTAAGACTAGATAGAATATCGGAGATTTTACTTCTACAGCCAATACAGTAATCGAGTGTGACCGAGATACAACTTATAAGCTAATTATGCAATGCGGCACGATGACGGCTGAAAGCGTACTGGCAAGAAGAGAGCACGTGGTATTTTGCTGACGCTCCTTTCGCACTTTTTTTCGGTATATCCTTTCTTAAGTCGGACATAACACTATAATTGAGAAAATCTTGTATATAAATGTTTCTTAAAAATATCTAAATATTATAAATTGACAAGGTGCGTTAGTAGATTATTTCTGAATGGAAAAATAAGATTCACATGAATAGCATTCAATAAAAATAAATTAAATTTAGTTATACCTTTGAGTATATAATCTGTTAGCAAGGTGGGTACTGTTGGACTATCCTCACTAATGGCCTTTAGTACTACACAAATAAATATATTATTGATATATTTAATTACACATACATACATGATGGTCAAGAATTGATGACTACTTACTTTTAATGAGTACTTGCAAGGCTTGATTGTCTGGTGGACCACTGTCTGTATGATATGGAATAACAGTTGTCAAGTACTAGAATAAAAATAGAATTAATTAAGAATTATATTACCTTATCGTTTTTTTAAATTAGAATTACAAATTATATTAAAGATAATCTTTTATTAAAAATAAATTTTTTTTGAGAGTATATATAAACACATATACACACATAAAATTCAATGGCCAATACTATGTAAAATGTACTACGTAAATGCGCAACTCGATACGGCAGTATAAGTTACCTTTGGCTCTTGCAAAGACCTATGTTGTGGCAACGGACTAGTACCATTCTGCATTTGATTTCGTTTCTTCGTAACATGATGCTGCCTACGTCGATTTTGCACAGCCAACAGTAAAGAGATGAACTGGTTCTTAAGTTCCTTCTCATATTCTAATTCATCCCTAAGTGCGAGCTCAGCGATCAGTGTTTCGCTCAAGGCCGCAACCAAGGATTCCATCTCCCCGAAAAGTTCAGTCAGTTGGCTGGAGGAAAGTTGTTTTAATTCTAAAAACACATTTGACGCTTTATAACGCGGATTTTTATTTTAGGGAAAAAATTAAATTTGTATTTATTATTGATATTTTTCTTTTAAATATAAGAAATTAAAAAAAGGGCTTTGCAACACATACTCTTCTCGTGAAGCGGTGATCCAAGTACTTCTCTACTTCTTTCCAAAGCCTCATCGCTATCTAATAGGGAACCCTCAGAATCCGGCGATCTTTCCATTGACGGACTTTCCTACAATGACAAGATGCAAAATCATTGGCTACTACTACACCGACACAAGGATACTTCAGTATGCACCGAGAGAGATTACCTGCATTATGTCATCTATCTCGCGAAGAACCTCCTCGGCGGTCTTAAGCGGCTCCTCCGGACTATGAGTATCAGTACTGCTGGATAAGATTAAAGCATGCATGTCCAAATCTGTCGCAACCGCCTCGTCTTCGCTACTTAAATCCTCTAGTTCCGGTCTACAGCGAACAAAAAAACGAAAGCATTGAATTTACGAGCGCTAACGTTGATCTAGATAAAGAAACAAAGTCAATTCACTGAACACGTGATTTTGACAAAAATTTAGTGCGTGAAAAGATGCATAGTCGCTGCAAAGTAAAAAAAAAAGTCTTTGATGAAAATAATTAAATCGCGTGTGTAAAGCCGAAATGTATCTACCTCTCCGTCGAAGCGGGTGCTTCGTTCAGATTTAACGCGGGCATATGCATTTTCCTCGCGTAGGATTTGCTCCAGTCGATCGGTAATATATTTCCAAAAGTTCCCGTGATCGTCCACCACATCCTGCGAGAAAAATCAAATATGTACATTAATGTTTAAAAGACTTTGCAGTGCCTGCTGAAGACTTATTCGATCTTAACACAGTCGCTCATCTTTCTTACATCACTCAGATATGTATTAATGTAAACAGATGCGAAATCTTCGCATGATTCATATCCTCTGATCTATACTATCCTCAAAGAATGCGTCTTAAACTTATGTGTCATCAGATTTTTCTCGCTCGAATGATTCAATAATCGTGTTAGACTCATTGTATCTTTCTATCTCTAGTAAAAAAAAAAAAAAAAATCTTTGAAATATTTTTTTTCTTGCAACGAAAGCAAGTGAATGCATGCAAGAGAATTGTCCTATGCTCTGTAAAACTTTAATTGATTTGCAGGATATCGCATAATGCTGTTTCATTACTAATATTATCTTATTAGAACAGCTTATTCACCGTATTTTAATCTTCATATTTTACTTTGATCTTTCTTCCATAATGTAAATCTCTTTACCATAATCCCTAAATATCTATGTACAATGGCGACTGATAAAAACACTTGTTTATAGAGATGTCACAACAACTTCCAGCCATCTAAAGGTTAATGAGAAAATGTATCTCCATCATAATTTTAGCACCAAGGACACGTGATTTACAAACGCGTTTGCTGCAAGAGCGTGACGCCTGATGCACGATCAATAAACGCGGATGCTCCCACGAGAATGATATAATACAGTAATATTATTAAGTCGCTTCATATAATATGTTCCATCATTTAGAAATATATACTGAAACATTTGTTGTATATAACTCTATGTATAACTCTTGAGAAAGACAAACTCTCTCTCTCTCTTTCTCCTTTTTTTTCTTCCCACGGAGTCTTCGTCTTTTAATATACCGCGTGTTTTTATAATTAACTTAATTTTAATATTCACATAATTTTCGTGGGAATATCTCCATGTAAGATATACCTAAGACACTTTTTCTACACAGCTGTCGTGAGAGCAACAGACTGTCCGCAAACTCCCCCGTTTTCTAGGATGTCAAATCATGAATCATGAGAGGAGACTGTAGGTGTTTCCTGCGTTACGTATACGCTGAATAGATAAGACGTTTAATCACGTGCTAACATAACGTAAGTCAACGACGCTACGGCAGCAACATGCCGTTTACTGAAGGGAAGCGATTCTTCACGCGGGGAACAAACGCGCCGGAACGAAGTGGCTTTTCGCGGTGCGAATTTGCGTATAATGTAATCGTGGGAGTCGACACAAAACGGCATCCAAATCTGCATGGTATAATGTTCTTACGAACCGAAATGTTTCTCTCTCTCTCTCTCTCTCTCTCTCTCTCTTAACTCTTTCTCTCCCTCATAAATGTCCTTCCCTTCCGCGGGTGATGGGTAATATGAGCTATGTTTCGAAAGTGATAAAGCTATGCCTTAAAAAAATAGTACAACTTCACTAATTTCGAATATTCGAATTTCACAAATCTTTTTTAATTAAACATTAAATAAATGTTTGCTAAAAGAAACGCATCTTTTTTTTTTTTATGTGTATTATTCAATATTATTGTAAAAGGCTAAATCAGATCGTTTTAATCTCTCGAATCCAAAATATATGAAAATATATGAATTGAAAACTTTCAATTTTTCTTCTTTGAAAAGATATGATATATTTTAAATAGATAATATGACTAAAAATTTATATCGTGTATTGAAGGGATTAGATATCTTGATCTTTAAATATCTATTCTGTTTAAAATTGTGCATGTGTTTATGCCTGCCAAAATAAACAGAAATAGAAGAAAAAAATGATTACAATGGATATCGTAGTGAAAGCCAACGCACATTGATCGGCCATTCGATGTCGTGGGTTAATAAATTGAGGTCAACTCAGTCCACTTGAGTTTCCGATTAAAATGTAAAGTGGCCTCATCTCCAACGCACACATTGTTCACATCAAACCGTCAAGCGTGTTTCATGACACACAGCATATATGAAGGTTTATATGACACTGAGCCAATTCAATTTTTAATTTCCGCACGCTCGTAAAAATCGCAACAAGTAGATATAGGAGTCGTGGAAAAGATAAGAAGAAATTCAATCATCATAAAGCTTAATCATTAAATAAAGAGAATTACTTTAGAAAAGAATTAAAACTAAAAAAAGAGAATTCCATATTTTTACACGGTAATTCTTAATAAATTCTTGTGAATCCGCTTGCTTTCTACAAAATTCGTGAAGAGAGAGAGAGAGAGAGAGAGAGAGAGAGAGAGAGAGAGAGAGAGAGAAATTTAAAGTAATATAAATTCCTCTTTAATTATATAAAATAAGACGATTTCTTCCACCTCTCTAGCGCTTTCATATCAATTCAACCCTGCAGAGCACCCCTAGATAGTTGGCGCTATCCGAGGCGCGTGCGCGCCGATATTGACGTTCGCCCTCTGTTCGGAGGGTGGTGTATAGCTCGATATAGAGAGAGAGAGAGAGAGAGAGAGAAAAAGAGAGAAATTTAAAGTAATATAAATTCCTCTTAATTATATAAAAAAGACGATTTCTTTCACCTCTCTAGCGCTTTCATATCAATTCAACCCTGCAGAGCACCCCTAGATAGTTGGCGCTATCCGAGGCGCGTGCGCGCCGATATTGACGTTCGCCCTCTGTTCGGAGGGTGGTGTATAGCTCGATATACGAACGAAGGAGCAAAACAGAGATTAAATTTTCATGCCACGCGTTTCGTCAGTATCAAAACATCGAAAAGAAATTATTTATTTCCACGTGTATCATATGTGAAAATCGCCTAGCAAGCATCGTTTCACACAGAAAATGGAAAGTTTGGCGAGTAATTCAATTCCGGGAAAAAGAGTATA